TAGTCAATAAAGCACAGGTAAACATCTTTCTGATATTCTCTGCTTTCAGCCAACAGCCATCGGACATCAGCAATGATATCCCTCGTTTCACAGCCTCTTCTGAATCTGGCTTGAACCTCTGGAAGTTGTCTGTCAATTGCAATTCTCTGTCAACTTAATTAGACTTACCCTGATTTCATAATTACAAACACCTTTGAAAGTGTCTATATATTTGCCCCTGCCTTTTTACAAGCTTGAATTTTGTGTTTCCTTTCTTTAATTTTCTTTGTGTTTTTCTATATCCCTTTGTGTGGAGTCCTGGTATGGCACGGTAGGATACGGACTATACTGCTAACGGAAAGGTCAGCCGTTCAAACCCACTAGAAGCTCTGTGAAAACTCTGCACAGGCTCACTATGAGTAGTAACCAACTCTATAACACTTAACAAACAAGAGTATATTGTCGATTTTATATGACTTGACATTGTATAATTAGTATCAGACTATATATATTCTTCTGCAACTTGTTTCTTACACACGTGATGCTATAGGATAAACACTGGATGGCTAACCACAGATTGGAAGTTCAAAACTACCAGCTGCTCCTTGAAAACCCTATACAGGGTCGCTGTGAGATGGAACCGACTCGACGGCACTTAACAACAGCATACACATTAATGCATGTAACTATAGCTCATACAGAACCCCACTGTGGCATTGTAGGATAAGCACTGGACTGTTAACCACAAAGTCAGTAGTTCAAATCCATCAGCCACTCCTTGGAAATCCTATATGGGACAGCTATAAATTGGAACTGATTCAACAGCACTTAACAATACAACAACACAATAGCTCATGTATTTCCACTATCTACATAGTTATTGTTGTTATTGTTAAATGCTGTCGAGTCGGTTCCGACCCATAGTGACCCTGTATAGGGTTTCCAAGGAGCAGCTGGTGAACTTGAACCACTGACCTTTTGGTTCAAACCGACTTTGCTATATAGTCGTTCCACAGAACATGCCACAATTTATGTATCTACTGTCTTGTTAAAGAAGACTTGACATTTCTACCTTTTTAATATAAATGCTGTTAATAAAATTCTTTGTCATGTTTCCCAGTATACATATGAACCTTTATTTTCCTAGGAACCCTCTTTTTAGATTGCTCAGTTAATTATATTTTTAAGGTTGCACAACAGCTGGAAGAGGACTTATATATTAAAGATTCAAATCATATCATTTTACAAATGAGAAATCCAGGGAAAAAGATTGTAAAGCAGAGCTGGGAGAAATGGTAAGATGTTGACTCTGTCCTTAAGAACAGAGTACCCATCTATGAATGAATTGTTATGTAGACACTAAAATCTCTCCACCAAACAGGTCTTTATCATCATCTCTCTACCCCATACTGCAGAGGTATTTCGAAATAAGTTAGGTGCCATCTTGTTGACTGCAAGTTACAGTGATCCTTCATACAACATTCCAGCTCCTGCACTATTCTCACAATCATTGATATGCTTGAGTCTATTGCTGCAGCTACTGTGTCATTCCATCCCTTTGAGGATTTTCCTGTTTCACTGACCCTTTACCTTTCACCAAGCATTATGTCCTTCTCCAGGAACTGGTTCCTCCCTCCATCCTCGCTTCTAAGGAACATTCTGTCTTCACTTCTTCTAAGACAGATTTGTTCATTCTATGTCCATGATATATTCAATATGTTTGTCAACACCATAATCCAAAAGCATCAATTCTTCTTCAGTCTTCTTTATTCATTGTTCAGTTTCTGTAAGCATATGGAAATACTATGACTTAGGTCAGGTGCACCTTAGACCATACAGTAACATCCTTTAACATTTTAAAGAGGCCTTTTGCAAACCCAATGCAATACATTGATTTGACAGTTGCTTCCATAGACAATGATTGTGGACCCAAGTAAAAAGAAATTCTTCACAACTTCAATCCTTTCTCCATTTATCACGATGTTACTTATTGGTCCAATTGAAGATTTTCATCTTTATGTTGAGGTGTAATATATAATGACAGCTATAGTCTTTGACCTTTATAAGTTCTTCAAGTAGTCTTCTCTTTTAGCAATAATGCTGTCATCTGCCTATCACAGGCTATTAATGCATCTGTGTACAATTTTGATGCTGTGTTCGTCTTCTTACAGTACAACTTCTTGGATTATCTGCTCAGCATACACTGACATACATCTTTCCAGATTTTAAACCCTATAGAATGCCCTTGTTCTGTTTGAATGACTACCTCTTGGTCTATGTACAGGTGTCTCATGAGGACAATGAAGTGTTCTGGAAGCCTCATTCTTCTCAATATTATTCTTAATTTGTTATGATACATACAATCTTTGCACAGTCAATAAAACACAGGTAAACATCTTTTTCGTATTCCCTGCGCTCAGCCAAGATCCATCTGATAGCAGGAATAGTATTCATATTTTGAAATAAAGTTTTACATAAATCAATGCATTGTTCAATTTAGGCTTCTAAATTAAGTCCTCTTCCCATTAGCAAGCTCACTCCATTAACACGATGTTGTTGTTACTGTTGTTATGTGCCATCAGTTCCAATTCATAGCAATCCTGTACAGGGTTTCCAAGGTTCATCTTTTTCCTTGGAGCAGCTGGAGGGCTGGAATCCCTGACCTTATGATTAGCAGTCCAGTGCTTAGTCTACAGAGCCATAGTCAGTGCATCATAACAAACATAACCTTTGTGAAATCGCCCCAAACTTCCCACAACACCAATCACAGTACAGTTCCTCGTAGCTCTGCAGCAATCTCTTGTACATCTATTATGTTATTTTATGGCTGTTTAATAGACTCCTAAGGAGCTCTGGTTTGAAGAGGCCCTGGTGTGGCACTGTGGGTTAATGAACCAGACTGCAGAGCCGTTTGAACTGCAAGGTCGGCAGTTGCAGCTCACCAGCTGCTTCTCAGAAACCCTATACAGGGTCGCTATGGTTCGGAATCAACTAGATGGCACTTACCAACAACAACAAGGAGCTCTGGTAGAGTTGTTATGAGTTGGGCGGCTTATGAGTTGAGTTGCTAACCTCAAGGTCAGCAGTTCGAAACTACCAGTTGTTCCATGGGAGAAAGATGAAGCTTTCTGCTCCTGTAAAGATTTACAGCCTCAGAAACCGTATACAGGGTTGCTAAGACTCAGAATCGACTCTACAGCATATAACTAATCAATCAGCCAATGGGCTCCCAGAATCCTGGTGTGGCGCTGAGTTAATGTGCTGGAGTGCAAAGTCACTTTTAACCACAAAGTCAGTGGTTCAAGCTCACCAGTTGCTCCTTAACAATGGTCCGTCTCATCATTAGTTTAGGTGGAGAAGTTATAAAGGATTTCTTATTTAAAAAGACAGCCATCACACCCATGAACATGATCACAAACAAAACAATACACACTACAGAACAATTCTTTCCATGAGATAAGAATAAAGACCAAGAAAATAAAATACGTCTAGATCTTAACTTGTGCAAGATAAATCAGCTATACAAAGTAAATTCTTTCTGGGATGTTTAATTTGTGTCAAAGAAAGAAGAAACTTAGAGAAAGTACTAAAAGTGGTGACAGCTGCCTCCAGAAAAGGCGTACACTATCAGGAGCTCCATGCATATCTTCACGAAATTTCAACCCCAATGATATCACTTAAAGAGTGTCCTGCCAAGTCTTAGCAAAAGTTAAATCCTTCATTAATAGAAGCAAAGCTGTGAAACCTGCTCAGTGCTCAGTGAGTACTTCATAAGGGGGAAACACAAAGTTTTATCTTACACCAAAGGTAGTGGAAATACACACAAACAGAGTTTCACATCTAACCCCTTAACGACCCCTTTAGGATTTGCTGACTGCAAACATCTTTTTAGCAACTGGTCGTGAATGTAGTGACCCAGGTGTAGTTTGCAAAGGACCCAATCTTTGCGCGTATTCAGACTCTGCTCCTTTCTTGCTAACCACTGCCTGCTCCTTGAAGTTTATCACATTCTTCTAATGTGGGGTATGTCCTTCCTCTTCCCCTCACCCAACCCTCCCGCCAATGATCCCTTCAGCGATGCTCTCCCTAAGCAGACACTCAGGCTTTAGGCTCACTTCCAATTCCAACTGCGTTCCTTTCACAGGAAAAAGTGCGATACCCGAAACGGATTCCTGAGCCTTCTACGCTAAAAGGAGACCCCAGCCCACTGAGCCTGCTTCTCCCCTCGGAGCTCCACGTACATCCAACTTTGGAGTCATCCCAGTTCTGTCATCTTACAAAACTCCTTCTCCCCAAAATACACACCCTCTTCCCCGCCCCGTTTCTCTGCAAAAGCTCGCCCCGCCCATTCCCCTTTAACAGATCCCTCTAAATTGACCCTCTGCAGGCACGTCCCATTACCTTTAGTCTGCTTCAGTCTCTTCAGCTCTTCCTCAGAAAAGCCCGCCCAACCCTGAGCCATCCGTCCTGCTGCCAGTTACCTACTGACCACTGGATCCGACCCTCCGACTGCCAACGCGCCCTCTCAAGCACATCCGGGTTCTTCCCGGGCCCCGGCCTGTCAGCCAATCAGCGCGTGAAGCTCCAGCCAGACTGCTCCGCTGCAGGGTCCGGCTACCTGAGAGGCTGCCTCTGCCACTGCCGGACCAACTGCCCAAAGAAATCTTAGCAACGCAGACATTAATATCGTTTAATCTGGCTCTGCTCTCTCGCTCTTTTTCCGGTTATCCGTAGGTTAGTTGCTTCGATTTAAAAGGGCGAAATGGCGTTGGGGGTAAAAGTGATGATAAACAGGCAGTTAAGTGGTTACGAGTAGGTGGTGAAAAGGGAGGGCGTTGTTTTTGCCTTTTGGGGTCCTCTGAAATTTTTCTGGGTCGCAGCTCTGTACCTAGTCGAGAGGAGGGCTAGCCGACGTGGCTTGCGTGAAAATCCGCATGTTTGGCTGGGAAAGTGAACTGTGTTGGAGTCATTCCTCATAGTGACTCAAGCAAGCGATTCAATTTAGCTTTATTGATGAAAAACTACTTACTGAAAAACTTTATTGATAAAAAAACAAATAGGAAAGCGACACGTTTAACAGGATTTGTCTGAGGAGCCAAGTCCCACAGACCACAGCGTCCCACAGATTTATGTGTGGGTTGTTTCCTTGATTATGCTTTTGTGAATGATTTTTGCTTATGTTCAGCCTTTAATGGATTTCATAAATCTTACCCTTCCCATCTTTTTCTTCTTCTGTCAGGAAGATGTGGACGGACGCTGAAGATACAAAAATATTTCTCAGAATTCCCCTTGACCTAGAGACAGATTTTGAAAATCTGGTTCTACCTTGAACACTTAGCCTGTCCGATCAGTGCCTTCATTATAAAGAGGACTGAAGAATTGAAGATGCAACCCTTGTCAAAGTGCAGACAGATTAGAATAATATGAGAGTCCAGGTATTGCATTTTTCGTGTTTCTCTATTCTGCACTTTAAAACAACAACATTTTGGCTTATATTTAAAAGCTTCAGGTGTGACTTTTAGCTCTAGTCTCTTTTAACAAATTGAAATAGACTGGGTAACCTATTGTAGAGCAACACCTCAGAGTCTGTTTAAAGTCAACAGGTTTTACTGATGTAGAGACGGTTTGGTCACTCCTCTTGACAATGAGAAAACACATTTTTGTATAGTCTGAGCAGGAAATAAAAAGTTACAAAATCATACCAAAAGACAATTGGGAGACAGATCTAGAATCAGGGATATCAGGAATTTGGCAGAGAAGTGGGTAGCCCATAGGTAAGGTTACAAGGTTAGATAAAAGCCCTTCCGTTTATTGAAGGGTGGTCACCAGACAGTGCAGGACAGGTTTTTTCCTTATAACCTGTTAATAAAATTGCTTCCTCAATCATAGGTTTCTGGGGGTCCATTATAAAGATTTATCGATAATGCTGTGCTACACATAAGCTATAGCATCTTGCATCTGTTTGACCATAGTGAAAAGACCTGGGACCTGTTAGACCAGAGAAAAGCAATGTCTGTTTAGGGTCTATTGTTAGGTCAGCATCAAGGTTACTGGAACTGCTATTAAAACAGGCAGCTTTTAAAATTCAGCAGGGATTCTATCATGTCAAGATTTAAAATGGCGTTTAAGCCCTGCACTATGTACACACACCAAGTATCTCTGATTTTCAGCTCTCTTACAAACCACACCCAAGTAGAGAATTAAAATGAATCTTTCAGGCTTAGATGGTGATCAAAAGATAAGGATGTCTGAAATTTCCCTTGAAACTTTGGAACTTTGAAAAGTGATTTCTGTCACAGAAGCTTCATTGTAAATGTGAACTCACTTTCCTTAACATTTTAAAGTTAAAATGCCATCCAGAAGCACTGGAGGACACATTTCACCCAGTTTTTTGAACTCACATTAAATACATTAAAATAAAAATATAGGTTACTGTTGTTAGGTGCCATTGAGTTGGTTCCAATTCATAGTGACCCTATATAGGGTTTCTGAGGATCAGCTGGGGGGTTTGACCCAATAACCTTGCAGTTAGCAGTCCAGCGTTTATCCTGTAGTGCCACTCCAGGACTCCAAAGGTAGATTGTTAGGTGCAGTCAAGCCGATTCTGACTCAGTGACTCTATGCACAACAGATTGAAACACTGCCCAGTCCTGTGCCATCCTTACAGTTGTTTCATTGGAGCCCGTTTACTGCTGCCTCTGTATCAAGCCAGCTCCCTGAGAGTCTTCCTCTTTTTTGCTGACCTTCCATTTTACCAAGCATGTTATCCTCCAGGGACTGGTCCCTCCTGATAACATGTCCAAAAAAATAATAGATGAAGTCTCAATATCCTTGGTTCTAAGGAGCATTCTGGCTGCACAAGACAGATTTGTTTGTTCTTTTGGCAGTCCACGGTATTTTTAATATTCTTTCCAATGTCATAATTCAAATTCCTTGATTCATCTATGATCTTCTTTATTCATTGTACAACTTTCACATGCATATGAGGCATTTAGAAATACCATGGCTTGACGCAGGTCATCTTAGCCCTCAAATTGATATATTTTCTCTTTAACACTTTAAAAAGAGCTTGTGCAGTGCAGCAGATGGAATGCACTGGAATCAAATTGACTACATCTGTGGGACGAGATGATGGAAAAGCTTAATATCATCAATAAAAACAAGGCCAGGGGCAAACTATGAAGAAGACCATCAATTACTCGTAAGTAAATTCAGGCTGAAGATGAAGAAAATAAAACAAGTCCATGAGAGTCAAAATTGACCTTGACTATATTCCACCTGAATTTAGATACCATCTCAAGATGCATTAGACACTGTTGTTGTTATTAGGTACTGTGGTGTTGGTTCCAACTCATAGCGACCCTGTACAGGGTTTCCTAGGCTCTAAATCTTTACCAGAGCAGAAAGTCTTATCTTTCTCCTGTGGAGCAGCTGGTAGTTTCCAACTGCTGTTCTTGTAATTCGCAGCCCAATTCGTAACCACTACGCTGCCAGAGCTCCTAGTGACCAAAAAATGAAGAGTTGTGAGATGACATCAAGAACTTCATACATGAAGAAAGCAAAAGGTTATTAAATAGATGGAAAAGAAAGAAAAGACCCAAATGGACATCAGAAGAGTCTCTGAAACTTGCTCTTTAGTTGTTGTTGTTAAGTGCTGTGGAGTCGGTTCTGACTCATAGCGACCCTGCACAGGGTTTCCAAGGCTGTAAATTTTTACGGGAGCAGAACGCCTCATCTTTCTCCCATGGAACCGCTGGTAGTTTCGAACTGCTGCCCTTTCGGTTCACATCCCGATTCGTAAGAGAAGCTAAAGCAACCGAAAAAATGAAGACATCAAAGAGCTGAACAGAAAATCACAAAGGGCAGTTAGAGAAGACAAAGTAAAATATTATAATGAAATATGCAAAGACCTGGAGTTAGAATACCAAAAAGGAAGAATGCTCTCAGCACATCTCAAGCTGAAAGAACTGAATAAAAAATTTAAGCCTCAGCTTGAGATATTGGGCAAAGTATTGAATGATGCAAGAAGCATCAAAAGAATTTTTTAAAGCATTCAATAAAATCCAGTACCCATTTTTAATAAATGGGTACTGGATTTTATTTATGGACTCATAGCAACCCTGTATAGGGTTGCCAAGGAACAGCTGGTGGGTTTGAACTGCTGACCTTGTGGTTCGAAGTCCAGGGCTGATCCTACAGTAATACACCATGTTTAACTCGGCTTTAATCCTTACTCCTTTAACAAGCTATTTCAAAATGGATCCCTAATTACAGGCATAGAAGTTAGGATTTGCAGTACATCACAGAATAGAGAAATTTGGCTAGAAGGGCCATAATAAATAATTAGCTGCCCTGCATAAAGCTTAAGAAAGAAGGAGGGATGAAAAGAGGAAACACGGGGGTGTTGGATAAATGAACTTACACTGAGGGGATCACAGTCAATAAGATGAAACTAAATGTGTATCAACTGTTAAATGTAAAACTAATGATCTGCTCTGTAAATCTCCCAATTCACAATAATAATGAAAAAACAACAACAACAATGCTTGAAGTTATGGGTTATGGCTCAATATCATTGAATGAATGAGTGAATGAAGAAGTAAATCCAGGTACATTAGTGCCCTACTGGGGAAGTAACATGTAAAAATATGCTACAGATATATTCACTGTGAAATGAATACCTATGCCACAAGTAATTGAGTCTTGACTGCATAATATTCTGGCTTTGGGAGGTCTTTTGTGTTTACATTTTAATACAATCGTGATTTCATTTCAGAATTCATTATACTCAAAATAAGGAAATAATATTGACTCTAAGAAGACACTGAGAAATTAAGTTTCTCCTTCCTTTTCCATATTACTGTCTTCATGGGAAAAAATTTAAATATGTGTCTCAATGAAGAAGCAATTATTTTTTCATTATACCAGTATCTTTAGAATTTTTAAAAAACATGAATGCATAAAAAGCACTAACTAGAATGAATAAGGAAAACACGATACAGTTAAGCTATGGCTTTGGAGAATAATATTTAATGTGGACTGCCAGAAGAATGAACAAATCTATGTTGGAAGAAACATAGCCAGAATGTTTCTTAGAAGCCAGGATGGCAAGACTTTGTCTCTCATATTTCAGACATAATATCAGTAGAGACCTGTCTCTAGAGAAGGACATCATGCTTAATAAAGTAGAGGATCAGCAAAAAAAAAAGGAAGACCCCCAACAATATGGATTGGCACAGTGGCAGCAGCAGTGGGCTCAAAGGTAACAACAATTGTGAGGAGGGCCCAGGACTAGGCAGTGTTCTGTTCTGTTGTGCATAGGGCCACATTGAGTCAGTACTGACTCAATGACACATAACAACAACAGAATACTGCTGGGCAAAACAGCTCTCCTGTTTAACAGTTTTCATCAGTCCTCAGTTTAATTGCCTTGTTATGCTGGCAGTTTTCTCCAAAAATAATTGACTGAATTAAGTCATTTCATTGGATATTTACAAACTGTATTTTAAAGGGGGTGTCTGTCAATTCCGTTTTGGCTTTGAAATGACTGAGGTTGGCCTGGCAAGGCACAACTGCAGTTTGGGGCTCAGTGTATTTTCATAGTCTCCAACTCAGGAAGATGATTGGAAAGAATGAGTAGAAGGTAAAATTTTGGCCTTTACACTCAATCCTAGTTTTATAATTTTGACTGCGAGTTTACTTGAAAAAGTGAGCAAGTAAGACACTCATTCCACAACTCACCTGTCAGTGTGTTATTACAGTGATGGCTCACATTTTTGCTATGCCACTGGTATTTTAAATACCAGCAGGGCCACCCATAGTTGACAGGTTTCAGTGGAGCTTACAGACTAAGACCCACTAGGAAAAACGAAAGGCAGACCACTTCTGAATGGTTAGTCAATGAAAACTGTAATGGAGGTGAAGGGCACTCAGCACCCCATAGGTTCACAGGGTCAGGCAGCTGAAAGTATACTCAAGGTACGGTGGGGAGATGGCTCATTCCTTTTTTCAGCAAATAGTGGTCAGCACAGGGGAAGGGGTTTCTGGTAGTCTCTTGCCCTTAACCCTCTCTAGCTCTCAGAGCTCACTCATGCTTTCCGCTCCTCATCTCTCTCTGTTACGTACCCTTCACATGGGGGGAAGTCTTTATATACTACTACAGAACAAAGAAGGCATCTTGCCAAATATGGCTCACAGGTTATGTAACAATATGACGTCATTCTAATATGGCGGTCCACATAGCAATGATTTAGCAT